AGTTTTATGCTCTCCATTACTTACTAGTTACTGTTTTTTACAAAAATTGTTTGGGAAATTTTGGTTTTAGTGATTGTTGGAAAGAGTTTTATTTATCATTAAAGGTTTGTATATTTTGTTCCTTTTAAGTTAAAAAATATAAGTATTAATTAATCAAACTAAATAAAAGCAAATAGTAAACTTGGAACGATACATGAAATTTTTAGTTGGCATGAGTGGGCTTGGCCAGATGAGGAAGAAGAAGTCAGATATATTTTGGCTAGGTCATTACCAGAGTTAGGACCATGGGAAAAATATACACTTGAACAAATTATAAAAATTGCAAAAGATTATATTTTTAAAAGGCCAGAACCATTACTATCAGAGCATACGACGCCTCCTAAGTCTTGGACTATGCCAGCACCACATATTTAAAGTATATACTTATACAATTATATCTTAATTTGTAATCCAAATTTAATTATTTAATAGATAAAAATATAACAAATAAATTAAATACTAAATATCAGAATAACTTGACGGTAAGATCTTATTAGCTAAGATTGCTTACTGAAAGTATTTTAGCCTGCTAAAGTACCTTCGAAAATTTTCTATATATCGGTAAGATTTCTAAAATCTAAAGTCAATAACCACACTTATCAGTATGAATGAACTAAGAAATTTCTTATTTGCACTAAACATTATAACGTATTTATAAAAATGCAGAAAATTTTGAATACTAATGTGTAATACTGCTTTTGCTATGCTAATCAATATCTTCAAATCATATAAATTTCTACATTTGATAAGTTATAACAAAATGTATCAGAAAGTGGGGAAAACAGATAAGACATATTATTAATATAAATCTGAGATTAACCAGAAAATTTTCAAAGCTTAGCATTGATTGATCTATAATTTGATAATTAAAAATTAGGTTTGGTAGCAAATACGCTATAATGAAATTGTCAATTCGGGTTAATAGAAACAAAAATAGATGTTATCGTGCAAACTTTTATGAATATAGATTTTTTTCTTGTTATTTTTTGTATGTTATTACATAACAACAATCTCAGCCAATAATGACTTGTAAATCATGATCATAATTACATGATAATATCAATATTGGAGCAACGATCAATAGTTCTTCATAACAAATAGCTAGCTGAAATATGCTGCTGCGTGGCATATTTCAGCCAACCATTTGCTCTGACAAACCAAATTTATTTTATGATATTAATTGTTGCATGGCCAATATCTTAAAAGTATTTGTGTAAAACCTTTCAAAAAGTTGATGATATAAAGTTGATCGTAAATAATAGCTTATACAATGTGTCAAAAAAAAAAAAAGTTTTAGGAATTACCTTGCTTTTGAATTTCAGTAAAGCCGATATACTTGCTTTCTACAGATAATGTATTGTGTTCTAAAGTTAAAAGACAAATTTTTAAATTTTAGGATCTAAATACAATTGACCTAATACAACTAGATATTTACTTACCAAAAAGGTAAATATACTGCTGTACTGTATATAGTACAATATCAAACAAATGTCTTAAATAATGAATAAACTATACAATTTAGTCATGATAGATATTTATTAGGTTGGGCCTTAGCTAAAAATGAAAAAAATTATCAGAAAGAACCTTGGAAACGAATGACTAAACAAATCAGAAGTTTATTAGAAAATATGTTTCATGCAGGAACAGTAGATAATAATAACAAAATATCAGATGAGGAAATATATGAAGAATTTTTAAAATAGTGAATTTGACCAAAGTGATGTTTCGAAAGTATCTACTATAAATAATTAGATCGCAATATTTAGTCGTAAGTGGAAGCAAAATATGACAAGGCTTTTCTTAGAGATGTCTGAAATCTCTAGCACATAATTTTTTTTCATATTACTTACTTCATATATAAAGCGTTATATATTGAAATTCAATTTTTATATATAATAAAGCTATTAGAATCTGATGTTCATATATAAATTTTTTTTTAAAATATATATTTACAACCATTTTTGCACAAATTGTCTTTTTTGTTATACGGAATTATTATTTGTGGGGGATTTGTCAAACTTGTAACTTTATACATTTTAGATGATCTCTTATTAAATTGGTAAATTTTTACCCAAATTATATATATAAAATAGTATCGATCATAACTGGATTATCAATTAATAAAATTATATAAAATGTTAAAATTCTCAAATTTTACTAAATGATTATAACTTTATGCTCTAATAAACCTTGTTCAGCACATAAATATACACTACAATAGTATATTTAATTTTATATTTCATGAATATTTAAGAAAAGATGTCTAATTTTGGATATTTTGATCAAAATATCCAAAATTAAGCATCTTCTCTTAAATATTCATGAAATATAAAATTAAATA